TTTAAAGATTTTTGCTCCTGAGTGAAGGTTGTGGTTTTAAACTTTTCCTTATGAGCGGAGAATAACAAGTATCAATCATGTATTATACCTCCCAACTGTGCACAAGCATTATATTGACATATATTGAACCTTTGTTATTTTGCTATTGATGACAATTATGTTGAGATAATTATGGATATTGTTATTTTGCCCAGCCTCAATTGATCTTTTAATCCAACTTTCAGCAAGAAAGCAAATAAGCTGAAATATCCATCAAATTTCCAATTTAAAGAAATTATAAAATCTTGTAACAGAGCAGATTCTTGTACTGATGCAAGTACAGTAAAGTTCAAATCACACCACAAACGCCAGTGTTTGAAGCAGCAACAGTTCAACAGCAAAACACAACTATCTCAAATTTAGAAGTTGAGATATAATTCAAAATAAAACTCAAACTCACGCTTCCACACAAACACACGAGTAACTGTTCAAATCAATGCCACTCCAGTTTTTACCTGGACTTCTTCATGTTTTCATCATCTGGGTCCTGCACTGAGAGATCCAGGAGAGACACACACATCAGCATCATGTCTCGCTGATAAACGTTGACACACACCTACTTCTGCCTTCTCACAGACAGTTGAGCCTATACCGACTGACACAGCATTAGTAATAATATACATCACATGAACTGGTGGCTCCTACACAGATGATCAACATGTGCAGTTGAATTTTCAGACTGATTACAGTCATGGGAAAAAAATGAGCCACCTGACAGTGGAGTCTCCTCTCCACAGCTGAAAAATGGACCCCCTGTGTAATCCACTTTTCCTGTGACAGTCACTACTTTCACTGTGACTGTCACTATGATCAAATTGAAATCAACATAGGCCTCCCTCTCTGCTGTGTCACTCTGCAGGACTCAGTCCTGACTTACTGAAGTCGGTGCCTGTTAACTGGGCCAGGATGCGGAAGGAGCGGGACTGAGTGGTGCCGGTGCGGGGCTGCCAGTCCTCAGTGTCCTGAATCAGCCTCTTCTTGCTGCGGTCGTTGGGGATAAAACAGGCCACGTTGTCCATCCTGAGGCCGTGCCTGCACACACACACCCAGCAGCAGCACACGGCAGGCCAATTAACACAACCCCATCAAGGGACCGCCCACTAACACCAACCCAACTGAACAGGTGACCTTGAAAATAGAGGACACCCCAAGCAAATCATGCAATACTTAAAGAGTAATGCTCAGTATCATAGTCACGCAATAAGCAAGCTAATGGATAGCCATTACTTAGATTTCTCATGGGCACACTGTAGACTCATAAATGGACATTAATGCATTAGACACTGTATTTATAACGGTCATTAAAATCAATGGGCAAAAAGCTGTCAAAATTACAGCATCTAGCCTTGATTGTGAGTTTTACTACATAATAAAGCTTTTATATTCTGCTAAACAACTCAAGAAGCAGCAAAGCTTTTCATCTCAAGCATTTTTTTTTCCAAACACATCCGTAGGTGAACTGCAGCATGCATTCATCAAAAAGCAAGTAGAGGATGAAAGATGGATCTCATTTTAATGGCCTGGCATCTTTGTTCTGTAAATCCAATCACTGCATATACACGAGAGCATCAGCACTTTTCTCTCATCATTATGAGCCGGCCATAATAAACTACTGAGCTGACAAACGAGCCTGCATGCAGCTGCCCCTTACTTGGACTCTAGGTACATATCGTCATAGTAAGTAGCTTCACCCCTGTAGAATAGACCACAAATCAAACAAAGAATGTATGGAGTTAGCAGAGGAAAGACTAAGAACAGATGGCAAGTCAATATTAGAGATGGATATTATCTTATTAGATATAATATATTTGTGTAATTCCGGCCTGTGTATCATTTAAACCTGTCCAGACTTGTGAGATGGCAACTGCAAATGATGACATGGACTCTAAGGCTACATTTATACTGCTATGTTTTTGTGTGAAGATGTAACAGCTCAGCTACAGATGCACCTGGTGTCCACACCACTCCAGAGTTTTAGATTTGCTAAAGCGGAAAAGTTTGGAAACGCTGCCGGCCCCTTTTTGGACTGACAACTCACGGCTACCTTAAACTCTGACAGAAATGGAAATGTTTCGAAAAAATTTCGAAGTCATTCACAACCACTTGCTGATTGGTTGATTAATTTTCAGCCGCGGCGTAGCCTCCGCTGATTCATCAGGTTGATATCACACAAACCCTGTTCAGGAGAAAACACCCGACATAAGCATCGGCTACCAATTAAGAACGCAACAAGGTTAAATAACTACAAGGGGAATTCCTATTTACACCAGCACACACATGCCCAGTGTACGTGAGTGGTCATGTGATATACTTCTTCAGGCACGTTAGTATGGAAGGGAATTGACAATGATATGGAGCAAAACTTGTGTTGACAAAGATGTTTTTAGTTTGTAAAGACCGTTTTTAAAAGAGATTGTAGTAGTGTGGATGTAGCCAACAGAGCAGTCGTCCTAAACCCGAGGGCAGGCTCACACTGCTCTGTTTCAATACGTCACAAGACAAAAAGGTTGGGAAACACTATGATACAGGATGGAAATCGTATACAAGTTTGAAAAAAACAATTTAAAAGGCAAAGAAATATACTAACTTGTCAAGAGTTTCCATCTGCAGAGTTAAAAGATAGGAGGAAAAACAGAGGGGGAAGGAGAAAGTGGTCAGAGTTCAGTTTGGGGTTAAATGAGAAAACAGAACACGTCAATACATGACAGAGGTTTTACACAGCAGAAGATTAAAAAATACTGCAGGGTGCAAAAAAGAAAAACAAGCAGGAGGTGACACGAGACATGCTGTCATTGTCAAACAGCTCAGTGAGACAGTGAGAGACGGGATTGTTTGCCTGTCAAACCATCTATTGTCACCCTGACCCAAAATGACTCCCGGCATTTGGCACAAAACCTTCGCCGTTCTGCTCCTCTCGCCCATGTGCACAAATTCTTGTCAGTGTTATGTAAATCCCTGTGCATTTGCCAAAAAGCCCCTTGCCTGATTTGTGTGTCTCTGCAGTTTGTCTAATTTTCCTCACACAAATGCCACAGCAGCGACCTCTCATGATGTCGGAATAAGCTCTGTACAAACAACATCACACAAAACCTGTTTCAATGCAACACGTCTGGACACATTAGTCATACGCTGTTTGCATCAAACTGTTTGCGGTCTGCGGAAATCCAACAATGTCTTCATCAAACCAGGCTGACACTTTTAATTAGGCTGCATTCTTTTCAAAGAAGGCCTGGGGAATGCGTTTGGGACATCTGCAGAGAAACTTCACGAGCATGTGACGCCTCTCCAGGGTAAGTGAGTAAGGCTGCTTAAATAATCCAGCACCGGGGCCGTAAAGGCTGTGTGGGAACTCAGCAGAATTTATGAGTCAGGCTAAAAACGGCAACAGACCACATCTCACCAATGGCTGCAGTCAGACCACCACCATGACCCAAATTACAGGAGCCTGACAGGCCTATTCCTGAAGACCATGTCATGACATAAAGAGCCAGTTTCAGGATCATTTAAAATATATCCTGGAATCCTGGTAAAATCTGAAAAACTGAGTGGTAAAATAAAACCGGAGGATACTGCCATTTATCTCTTAATTTATCTCTCGTAATTATAGCTGCAAGACTTCGGTCCATTTTTAATACACAGGAGGAATTATTGCAGCTTTAAAATCATCTTTCAAAGGAAGCATTTCTTTTACACAAGCCGAGGTCAGAAGCCAAATTGATCAAGAATTTTTTTTTTTTTTAAACTTTTGCAGCTGCATCAAATTCAGTTTTTTTTTTTCAACACAACAGATCAGAAGTTTACTTGAGGGACTCAACCTGAGAGTTAGTGAGAATTCATTTTGACTTCTAGTCCATCAGATGTAAGAGATTTTCCATTATTATTCTGATGTTATTTCTTGAGAAAGAGAAACTGAAGTCAAAACATGACTGACAATGCAACCTTGAAAAGCTGGAAATAATTTTAGCCCAAAGCAGGGCTGTGCAATATGGCCAAGAACAACATTAAATAAACCCTTTTATATCAGTCGATATTGATAACTAACTTAATCAATCAAGTTCTAAATGATTTGCATGGATTTGAAAATAATCAATTTTGTCGTTTCTATAAGACAGAGGGTAAGAGTAACAGCCAATAAATAACAAATCTGTGGAAAGTGGAAATCAGTTATAAAAAGGTAGATTGTTTTGCGAGAGATGATTCATTTCTCAAAGACTGTAAAGTCTTACATTTTGGTTTGTGTCACACACATAAAATGAGGGTGATGGGAATGAAAAGGGGAAAAAAGTTAGATGGAAAAGAAATCTATATTTACAAAAATAAATGATAATGTCTGCAGTGAAAATAATTCACCCGCAGAGTGTGAGAATAAAACTCATTTCACGACACCACAAAAGTGTGATTGATCATCAACACGTCTAATCTCTGTAAAACAGTATGTGTCATCTGATGAAATCCACTGTTGAGAAAGACAGCATAATATCGGTCTGAACCAAAATATGATAAAGGCCAACCAGATAACATGGATCTGTTTTGACTGAAGGTCAACAAACTCGTCCCTTTTTGCATGAATTGTTCTGTGGTCGGCGTCTGTCATGACACAAGATGACGACAGGTTAGTGTTACTGCTGTTGAGACCAACATAACAAGGTTACAAAACAGCTGGCAAAAACTTTTCATCTTATTTTAATAGAGAGTGGGTCAATTAAGTTCATCCCAACATTTGTTATGTTAAATTTTTCTTTGCACTTGTCTGTAATGTTTCTTAAAATCAGTGACAGGATTTTGGCAACACGCTGCAGCCGTGATTGAAGTCAGTTCTTGGCGTAATGCAGTTTGGGATTCCCAGCGGAGTTATTTTCCTTTTAGTGTAAAACCAGAATAATGAGATGTCAAAAATACCATTAAAACCACATCAGTCACATTGTGGTTCAGAAGGTAATAGTGTTTATTCGTCCACCTACCCATTCTGTGGCTGCTGCACACTGGCACGGCCCTGCGAGCAAGGCGTGTTAAGTTTGGGCGAGTAGGCAACAGGTTTAATAGAAGGTCCTGAGTTGGCACTAACACCACCTGCTGTAAATGGCCTCGCCATCTTGTTAATGGTTGTGCTGGGGGCAAAGGAGTACTTTGGCTGAACAGAAGCCGGAGCAAGCGAGTCCTATGAGGGTGTGGGAGAGGGAGACAATGCAGCACAGTGCACAACATGCAGTTAGACATTTCTGACACACAGTAAAAGTTCCTTCTGCTGTTGCACAATCCCAAGCGGTACGTTAAGAAAGCTTCCCGTGCAGCCCAATATTTTCTCATAGCAAATGATTACTCGGTGCTGCAGGAGCAGCTCTGTCAAAGCCTGCAGGCTTTTCTCTGCACATGGAAGAAGTGCTTAAGAAGTGTGAACAAAGCCATTTTATTTGTTTTGGCCGTCAGCCAGGGACTAGCCAAAGTAATCTGCTGATGGTAAAAACCAGAAAAAACTAAATGTCCAAAGTGAGAAATTGTCATATTTGACTGACATGACACACTAATGAGATTCCACACTGAGCATTATGCCCAGACTGCAGGAACACCTACTAAAACGGAACATTGACTTTGTGAGAGCATTATGTTCCAGCTGTTTCGCTATAACAGCGTGCAGCACAAAGCAGTTCACGACACCACTGTGCCATTCAGACTGTAATCAGCTGGGCAGGGAACTCTCCAGAGGGTTTGGCAGTGGAGCTGAAAGTATCAGTATTCGTCTGCTATCAGGGATTGTGCAAGGCATTACAAAAACACACTGCAGGGAATTTCAAAAGAAGATTCACAACACACTCCATCCAGCAAACATCTCATTTAGCAACTCAGTGGTGCTTAGCTAATGCACAGTGCACAGACTCTGTGAGAGCTTGACAGGTGCATCAGATGGATTTAAACACAAGGTGACACAACACACTGGTGAGGCCAGGAGTGGACAATGATTAAAAGGAAGTTTCAGATTTAATTACATTTCCCTGTATTTCAGTAGCAGACCATGCAAAAAGCATCCAAGTGGCAATTCTAGTCTTACCTTCTGGTCTCCACCCGCTTTGTAAGCTCTGTGGAGAGAGAAGAACCGTAATTAAAACATGGTTTCATTGAAATCATCCTGAAAAAAGTTTACATCACAGTCTCAATGTACAGTCTGCATTTTCTACATCACCAAAGTTTTCAATGTTTCAGTCAAAGGAAAAGTTATTTTTCACACAGCTTCCTTCCAAAGGAATGATTTTAATTCATTGACACTTCATAACCAACGATGAAGAAATACATAAAATGAATAATATAGAGACTAATATCTGTAGAGAGCTACTTCAGTCATAACTTGATCAGTGGAGTGAATAGCACCGCCAAGGCCCAACAGTCCTTTTATCGAACCACATTTAAATTCACTCGATTCAGATTTTTATCGCACACAAATTGCGCACACTGATATATATCAGTGTGTTTTTTCATCTAGATCCAGGAATTATTCTCTTTCAAATGTTGAAAAACGCAATCCTACAAAAGACCCCTCATCCAGATCTGCACCAGAAATAGTGGATTATTTCTCAGGTCATACCCGACCCCTTCACAAAGTTTCATGAAAAGCAGATGAGTAGTTTTTGTGTGATCTTCAAACAGAGTCGAACACAAAACCTCCTTGGTGGAGTTGATATGTGATCCAAAAGAGGAAAGCGGTGACAGACCTTTGGACCCCAATATATTTTACGGGCTGTGTCTTATTGTTGAAGTTCCCTTTGGAGAAAACAACTATAGTTGAATGCTTTGTCTGCAAAAACAGGGAGTTTCAATCACTTTGTTAAATGCTTGAGACAGTTTTATTAGGGGTTTTGCAAACAAGTGATCACACCGGTTTAAACAAGTCCAGTTAAACCCACTTATCTAAACCACTCAGAAACGCCAGAGTGGAAGAAAAGTAGTCCTGCACAGAAAACAAATCAAGTGTGGGTTATAACTGCACCTTTGTTGTTGTATCTGAACTTGTGGTTTAGATAATTGGGTTTAAACTGGACATGTTTGCTGATATTGTGTTCTAATTCCCCGTGGACTGCACCTGTCTGCTCACATCTCAGCAGTTATGCTAATCAGCAGACGAAACAAAGACAGAAGTAATGTGAGAAAAGAATCAGGTCATAGAATCAATGAAGTTTGCTCTGCTCTCATTATGCACTCTGTAAAACTCACTACTTTTCTTATCTACATAGAAACCACTACCCAGCTAATATAATACTGCAGGTGCCACAGTGATGTACACTGCCTTAATCCCAGGACTGACATTATCAGTGCCTTTGCTGGCTGGAGCAGCACAGCACATAGTTCGTTAAAAAATAAAATATACTTACAGGGTTACAGTGCTGGTGGCTTCTAATACAACCAAACATAAAGCACTACTACACCCTGCAGGCGCCCTCATTGTTTCAGAGCACAGTCACACACAAAACAAGTGCACACTACATCCATTACAGACAGAATGACAACAGGGCCGAACAGATCCAGAGAAGAGGAGCAGAGGCACATTGACATGTCTGTGCACGTCAAATTTCTGGGAAGACAAATAAATGTGGCACTCGCTGTGCTTCAGCTTGTCTTACCCCACAATTTGATGAGTCACAGTTGAATTCAAGGGATAAGAGGTATGTGTATGACAGCTGTTCCATCGCTGTATTTATTCTGGCAAACCGAGTTTAAGTGAGCAAACATGGAACTGATTAAGTCACCGCAGCATGGAATAAGTTTGACCTGCGCTGAAACGGAATATGAGCGCCGTATGAGATCATCTCCTGCCTGATTTCACGGGTCTCTTAGTTTAGATGATGCATGCTGGGCTTTGAGCTGATTTCAGATAAAATGTGAAGTTTCTCTACAGGAAAGAAAACTCCCACGATACCATTAACACAATCGCACACATCGCGAATATAATCAAACCTCCAACCACAACTATCCAGACCACGATCATTGGTTTAGAACAAAATGAGGCACTAAAGTAAACAATGGGACCTCGGCTCATCACCGTGCAGCTGTCCTCCTCTCTTGACATAAAGGAAGCCGTGGATGGCAGCCAAGATACGAGTGAATCAAACTGACAATAGCTCCTCTCTGATAAGTGTTACAGGGAAACAATGTTTGCTTGTCTTACAATACAGCAACGATGGGAGAGGGAGGGAGTGGAAGAATGTGAAATGTTTACCATCCCTGGACTCCACAAGGAGATGAGAAATAGAGGAGGCAAACCAAAGAGAGCTGGAACAGTACGGCCGCAGTTAAGTAAACAAGCTGGTTTATTACAGGACTATCAAAATATACCACCACTCACTGCGTATGAAAGGTGGAAGAAGAAAAAAACATTGTAGCATTAAATCGATGTAGGACTTGTGTTCTTAAATGCACAGTAACAAATATTTCAGCCATAAATCCTCTGGGTTTTGGGGGGGGGGCTCATGTACTCAAGCTCATCAAATCCCTCAGCATGACGTCACTTTCCCGATTCTTATCCCCCGTTTGCCACAAATCCGACAAAATTCTCACCGTCTCTTTTTTCTAACTCTTCCCCTTTCACTTTTCCTTCTCGCTCTTAAACTCCAACCCGTGAGTTTGCGGCTCCCTCGCTCTCCCTCACACTCCTTTTAAGGCATTTAGTAGGTCGGAGAATAGCGTGTGACCTCTATCTTCAGGGGGAAACGTGCAACATCAGCAATGTGTTTTGGTGTTAAGGAGAAAAAAAGTGAAATGCAGCTCTTTGCTAGAAAAGAGACTGATGTTTTAAAAATGTTACCTAAAATAACCTGCTGCAATTTTTGGTGACGTTAAACTACATATTTCACACAAGATTATAGTGGATGTTAGACACTGATTGTGCTTAGTTTAACATTCTATGTACTTTCCTCCCCCTCCATCTACTCTTCTCTCTCTTCTTTTCCTCCATTATTCTCTCGCTTTTCCATCTGAACAAAACTGATAAAATAGCTTAATCTTTGCTCCTTTTGCAGAACACATTATGTCTCAAGTATTGATTTCAATACCAACTCTCATCTGTTCTCTTTGACATTGATTTTATGCTGGAGCTGCAAGTAAGAACTACTTTTCATTATAGATTTATCTGTCGATTATTTTCAGCTCCCTCTCGTGTATGACAAAGAAAATCCTCACGTCTGAGAAGCCGGCCAATGTCTGGTATTTCTGATTAAAAAAAGACCACAAAGATTATTCGACTGGAACTTAATCGACTTCCTGTCTCCCAGGTCTCTAGTTGCGAAAAGCTTAATAAAAATATTTTGAAAAACGAAACATGAAGTGGTAGATCGGTTGGATTTAGTGACGCGCGCGGAGAAATCCACACTGTATGAATGAGGGAGGAGGAGACCACTGCTGACGTTCACCGGGATCTCTCTCTAAATCTGAGACTATTTCATTTTTCGTTCTGCCTCCGTTTTCATCTGGAAAGTAATAGAAAAGACATGTGGCTGTTCTGACTTGACAAACCAAGTGAACAAAGCACATTTGTCAGGAACTTAACAGCTGAGTCTCTTGGCAGGCGACTACAAAATGAACTGGATGTGAAAATAGCTCAGTTACAGCTGTGATCACAACCTCTACACTTATGAGTATCACAGAATCAAAATGAGTCCCATGACAGCAGCGAGGCACATCTTTATTACTTAGCGAGTCAATAGCTTCTCGTTTTCCAAAGGCTTTGGGCTCTTGGATGGTTATGTTCTGTGTTTCTCTGGGAGGGGAATCTTTTCCTTATAATTAAGCCACTGATGAAACATTTGGCTTGTAGTCTACTGATACTTTATCAGTCAGGAATTTCTGGCAGCTGTTATGTGAGCAGGTATGAAGGTTATCCAGTGAGAATTAAATTAACTCTAGCAAAATTAGAAAATAGATTTTTCTGGCTCACACTTAACAGCAGAGTGTTTTAATCTGAAGAAAAAGGTTCTCTAATATCATTATAAAGCTAAAGTATAGGTTCCCTTGTGTTCCTGTGTAAACAGTATTAGACCTGATCATAGGCCAATGGTATAACATGACAGCAGTCGGCCTGCAGACTATTTCACTATTTAACTGCTGTTTTTGCTTCTTAAGGACTGAAAAGGATGAAATATTACTGTAATACTGAGCTAGAAAAAAAGTTAGACTTTGCAGCTCCACAGAATCCCATTATTACTTTAATAAATAAAAATGTCGAGAAGTTTTAAACCTGATCTCGATTTGAACTGGTGTCAAGAGACACACAGTGATGAAACATAGGAATATTTGCTTTGTTTAATACACATATGACTGCTAAATTACCGCTCTTTAACTTGTTAAAATGTAGGCCTACAAGCACAACACCGGGTTAATATGTGCACTTGTCTCATGAGTGTGGTTCCAATTGCAAAATGCACTGCAATTTGTTTTAACCAGGCACCGCCCAGCAAGACTTTGGCAGGCGTTTGTACAATAAGAGCATATTATAAACAGAAGACCCAGCACAGACCTTAATATGCTTTGCACTCTTACAGTTCAGTGGATCAAATTTGTACACAGAGAGCAAAAAAAATAAATGGCTGTGGAATCGGGAATGAACTTTATGAAAAGCTATAGGTCAGATTCCATTCAAATTTGTTCAGTGGTTTTTGAAACACCCTGTTTACTTCTGTAGTAGACAAAGAGACAAACAAGATTAAAAAACTAAAAACCTCCCCTGCAGACATATTAAGTTTTTGAAAGGAAATTTTCTGGCACAGTTTTGACTCATGAACAGAATTTTGAACCAGATCCAAATCTAAAACTAATGCAAGCATCAGGACAGTAAAATAATGGAAAGTGCAGGATGGTAACTCATATGTATTTTGCAACTATCTGTCATACTGGGCTGAAACTCAAGGACATTATGCCATCTCATTTTTCTCAAAGTAAGAAAAAAGGAGGACGTGTGCTTTGTGGTGATTTATGCTGCTGACCAAGATAAAACTGGAGGTTTGTAGAATCATTCAGGCACCACCAGGTGACTTACTTGCTGAGAGTTAGGGTGAGGGAGTCTGTCGCTGCTCTAATCTGGTTTTGCGCCTCCACATGGGTCATGTCCTCTGCGTTGGTCTCACCAATGGACACCACCCAGTCTCCGACACCGACACCAGCATGAGCAGCCTTCCCGCCCGGGGTCAGCTGGAGGGAAAGAAAACAGAAACCAGATGTTAGGGAGATGTGTTTGAGGAGGTGGATGTGGAGTGGTAAAAGCTCCAAGGGCAAAAGTATGATTTGAATTATAAAAATACACAGATGACGCTCGATGAATTGGTCAAAAACAAAAGTAGAGCGCAAACCTCCAACAGTTCACCTTATGAAACCACATTTAAATTCACCAGATCAGGAAAGTTATTTGGACCCGCACCAAATTGCCCACACTCATAATTATCAGTCCCCTTAACATAAATTATTTCCTGAGAAATCAATGAAACTTTCTCACAATGTCAGAGAAAGTAAAAAAGAATTACAGTTTCTTCCTGCCTTAAAAAAATATTTCAAAAAATAACTGTTGATGCTTTTCCTCCATTTCACTATTGTTTTGTTATCACCGTCAGTAATATATATAATGATATATTAAATACATATACATACATTAAAGAAGTATTAGAGATTTTTTTTAAACCAGACTTGAAAAACTGCATTACCAACCTTTATATCATACAGATAAGAGAAGCTCAAAACTAAAATAAAGATATCTAAAAACACACAGAAACATCTTGTCTGTTAACCGCACTTAATGATCAACTCAGGGAGTCTGCGTGTCTGGGTCTGACGGCCAGTCATGATATTTCCCTCAACACTACCAGGAACAGGCATTATATGTCATCATGATGTCATCAGTCATCAGCATATAATTTACTGCAGATGGAACTCATGAAAGCTGCAGACACAAACCATATGTTAACGCAGAGTCACATCGTTTACGGGAACAAAACATCCTGTTTTTTCTCCCCTAATAGAGACAGATAAGTCATTGACCTGTGTCACTGACATCATGACCTCATCCTCTCACACTGACACAGAATGCAGACGCACTGAGTCAGAGCGAAGGAGGGTGAGGTCTTGTGACACACGGGAAGAAGTCTGTACAGGTAATATTTTTTAATATGTGCATGTGTGACACTGTCTGCCATGAGCTCTAAATACACAAATATACACAGAGGCAATGCCACAGCGTGTTTAGTAAGGGCTTAGTCAGCTTGCCCATGCGGCTTCATAAAACTCGAGACTTGTGTCAAACTCTCAGATAACTGGAGTACAAAGTGTTTGGCATCAGATAAGGGAGCGAGCGCTGGGATTTCTGGCAAAAACCCTATTAGGATTAGTCTCTGATGTCACGGATCCCTGCAAATGTTAGCTCATCAAAAGCTCAGAGGACTCAGCGGTTCAATCAATAGTTTTCTGCCATGTTCAGCTAAGCTATCACACTTGCCACTTTGATTCTGCACATTAAACATAAACACTCGTGTGAGCGGGGAGGAAATGTGCTCTGTGAAAAAACGATGACGGTTCAGGCTGAGGGAAGCGACTCTGCGCCCCTAAAAGACGACTAAGTTGGAGGCTGCCTTGAATCAAAACACGGCAGAGATAAAAATAGGAGGGAATGCATTCCTCAGAGTCGATGCAGGCTACACTTATTTTACAGCCAAGCTCAAACACCACTTTAATTGCCTTTGATTTGCACTCACTGGAAGCAATTAGAAGGGTTAAAAAAGAAATAATTCCTCCACTTAAAAAGGAACTTCAGAGAGTTTTAACAGCTTCCACTGGAGGAAAACAACAACGATACAGACACGTGAAATATTCTGAAAAGGGGGGGGGGCACGGCCTGGCACAGTGCCAGCGAGGTTCACTACAGAAGAGCTGCCCCCTTTTTTATTAGCGCACTGGCTAGTAAAACTTGAGCACCTTGTCCATTTACAAAAACAGGACAATTATTGTGTGTTAGCTTTAAACAACGGAATATCCCATTAGTTTGAGCTACAGAAGCGCCATCGCAACCTCAAGGGAGCTGTTCTTGTTAAATGGTAACACAACAAAAAGTCTTTAATCTCCGTAAAAAAGTTAAGCACTTAAAATATTACCAGACAGTGCAGTAATAGATTCCCATGCCGGACAGAAAACAGCAGCATTTAATGAATTATCAAAGAAGTGTTTAATGAGAATTACACTTTGCAAAAACAGCTGGTTCAGGCTTATCTTGAAGTGGGGACTTTGATAAAACAGACAAGAATTAAAGAGAAAATCTGAAGAAATGAATGAAGGAAAAGTCTTTTATATGTTGTTGTACTGAATTTGAGGGATCACTGATCAAATCCCAATGAACATATGAGATTGTAAAGCAACTGCTTGCATCAAAAACAAGAAATTAATAAACATCTTTTATTGAAGAATGGTGTCATCTCTCCAGTAGAGCTTCACTGACTTGCAGAATAACTGAAGCAGCCCTGGAGGCTCATGGCCTATCTCGTCATCTAACATTTTACTAGCTTGTTGACAGCTAATGCAAAGGTGGAAAAGAAAGGTATAAGAAGCCAGAGAGACTGGAGATTGTATATGTACATGTGTGTGTCTGTGTGAGTTGAGTTACTGATGGACACAAACACCTGTGCTCCTGGCTCAGGTTCAGAGCGCAGCTGCTCCCTCACTTGAGAAGGCAGCAGTTAAAGTTGCTGCGCTCAGTCCTTTGGTTGGTAGGGGGGCCCGCAGAAACCTTACACCTCCCCCAGCAGTTTGTCAATACAGCGAAGGACAGTGGAAAACATGTTCTTGAATGCAACGCGCCGTGTTAGACCTCTCAACAACCACACAGAATATGAAGGTGCAGCCGTGATGTATGATAACATCTCGTAGAGGAGTCAGCTCCTCTGGTGCACGTAAAGAACTGAGACACAGCCACATCCTGTCATGAAATATTTTGTGCAAATGTGATGTGGACCTCACTTAACACCGATGCCGTTTCGTCTGTACAACCAAATTCAGAACCACAGGGTTACCTTCTTAGCCTGTTTCAAAGCTTTTTGGCAGAGCGCAGCAGCAGGGCTGCTCTGGTGAGCTCATATTTCAAAGACTTCGTCAACCTTTCAAAACACAACATCTTGAATTCACTTCTGAAGTGATTCTGTGACTGTCCCTACAGGTGAGCCAGGGCCTTATACCCGCTCTCAGCTGGATTCTCTTCTCTTTGGTGGAACCAATAACGCACCAGAGTTTATCTACAGCTGTGGATATACTGAACATGTAACTCTGCACCAGCTCACTTTTATTCTTTCCATGGCTATTTGGGGGCTGAGAGACAGTCTGTCCTAACATCACTCACACAGCACAGCTGATGCAAAGCCATAAATATCCCTCTGAGAAATGGAAAACCAAACCTGCAAGCATGTGGTTGCCCCGTAACGACTGCAGTGGAACACCTAGCACTAACTCACCTTAAAACAGTGCTGCACTGATCACAACATGAGGCGTTCATGCTTAAAGAGCCACAGAAGAAAAGCTCCCTGCAGGCAATCCATCAGTAGAGGACTGAATTATTAATTCACCCCTCTAACAACAAGGCCTCTTTTCCCTGAGTTTGCATGTGTGTGAGTGATGCTTAAGAGTACACCACTGATGAAGCAACAGATGGCTTGGCATGTCAAGACAAAGGCACAGACAAACATAGACAAGACTCACTGACACATCCAGCTGTGGTGGCGGTGAGAGGTTCACAAATCTCCCTGCTCGCCTATTGACATGACATCATCTACAATTTCCTCCCAACATTTGATTTCAGTGGCGTTCCTCGTGCTTGTCGACACAAACCAGATGGTGCTCAGGAGGCTCTGTTATAGTGTCATAATGTTTATGGAAACACAGTGGCACAAGATCTGGGGCAGATATATGGAGGAAGTCCTTAGAGGGGCTTTTAAGGCTGCCCACACCCCAACAGACTGTGGCACATTCAACTGAAACAGAGTTACGACGAAATCTTGCTTCCTAAATGTTATGCCTTTCCTGTTGAAACAGGACGTTGGCGCATGTGAAGAGATATGCAGTTTTACTTAGGAGGGCCACTGTCCTCTCAAAAAAAAAAAAAGGTATCAAAAACAAGAAGGTCGGTTGGAAAAGGGTGAAAGGCCGCGTGATCAAACTCACAACAACTCAACAGTTGTTGAGAGATTTTCAGAGGTCAGCTTTCATAAGTGGAGAGGCTTGTGTGACAGGGACCTATTGGACAAATGTTTAACCCTTGTTTGACCCATTTATGTGAGACGGCTCTCAGGGGATAATCTGTTCACACACTCGAGACTATAGTTCTACAAACTATTACTGTCAGTACACAACCGTTAGATGTGAATTTTCCTCTATTCAGTCAATGACTTGGTTGAAAGGGGATTTTACTAGCCATGATTATAATCAAGGGCGTCACTGTGGGTTGAACATTGGGGGGGTTAAGGTCAAATGGCATGATCAAATACTGCTAAATTATTATAAACTAAGGGACTAACTAACTAACTAAGGAATAATCGCTCGATCTACTTTAGCAATAAATACAATTTTTACGTCATACTCTTCAGATTATACCAACTAGCTAGTAGCCAAAGTATTAACCTTGCTCATGCTGCGAATCAAATTGAATCAAGAAAACCAACCACTGTATAATGTTCCTATAACAGTCAACACTTTTTATTCAGTGTGACTACTGGGGGGGGGTTGTGCAGGCCGGTTTTGATTATGTGAGGAGTGGGGGAGGGGGTTACAACACACCACCATAAATTATGTCCTAGGTCCTACTCTTTCTTGGAAAACATCTGTATAATGTCGACTGTTCCTTGGGGGGGAATTCATTATGTCTCAGAAAATAATATTGTTAATATCATCAGGGTTATTTAAGCTTAGATTCGCACACAAACAACACATTTATAAGATAAGGCTTTTATTAAAAACTGGAAGTGAGGAATTCAGAAGATGTGGTTCTTGGTCCAGTGTTTTAGAAAAGAGGTTCCTAAACTTTTCAGCGCATGACTTCCCAAAATGCTATGCCAGACTAGCGACCCCTGTTATCCCGAGGAAATCCTGTTTTGCTGTAAACGGAACTGCTGTAGCTGATGCTGTTGTTAATCGCCTCATGACTGACGAAGGAGAAAAATAAAGTATTTTTCAGAGTTTTATCAACTATGGTTAAATATGCTATTTCAAATTGTATTTGATATAGAGATCATTTTGCAACCCTCCTTGGGAACCACTGTTTTAGAAAGCAACTCCTACTGGGAAGAAAAAGTGATAATATCATAGTCTGTGCTGTTTCAAGTCTGACCACTTTTGATTTTTATTTTAAATATAATTCAAATGCTGGTAACAAAATGCTGTTGTTTGTTCACCAAAGCACAATGGCATCCAACTCATGTTCAAACATGACATAGAGATGGAGCTAACAAAGTGAAGTATGCTGATATGCAGGGCTGTGACTACTATCACTGCGTCAGTCTGAAAAGGAATGACGTTTGAGTTAAACAGAGAAAGGTGCCTTTTCTTGATTCATCTATTGTAGTTTTCCTTTTTCCTTCATGGGATGAGGAATGGCCCTTTTCAGGTTATAAGTTCTAAAACATCCACTAAAACTTAAATGACAAAAGGAAATTTCAAAGGAAGAATGATACTAAAAACTGTCAAATAAATGTTATCAACATATTTTTTCAGTTAATAAATGGGTCTATTCATGTAATGCTGGGTTAAACATTTATTTTTCCTTTCACAGTGACTTAATGGTTTGTCTTGGCCTCATCTCCATTCCTCTGAAAATCACTGGAAAAGTATTCCAGAGGGATTTGGGGGAGTCGATCATATGGACGAGAAAAGTGAGTGTGGAAGACGTATTCGACACAGACCGGAGACAAGAGGATAGTTTGCTGGCAGCGACGGGGTGGATACAGGAAAAATCTCAGGAATGCTGAGAAAGCGTAGCTTTCCAGGCTCGCAGACAGAGGAGGAAGGAAACATGAGCATTCATAGACCATGGAAACCATTTACTAAAACACACACACACACACACACACTCACAGGAGGTAACAAGTCACAGACCCCAAACTGTCCAAATTAATACAAGATGATCAAAATCCCCAGTTACAAGAACTTCAAATACAAGGAAAATAATTCAAAATTAAGTCACCGATTGTGTCACAATGAGACGAAACCCAGACTCTTTAAATAATAATGATCACTAAATAAATCCACTCTAAAACCACACTAATTATCATGTAATCTTAACAAAAACACTCAAATCATTGATCTTTATCACTAAAAGTTATCACTAACAATCTCTTTGCCTCACAGCATTTTACTGAGGCTTTTGTCCTGTCACTCCACATGTTCGTCATTGTGTAATCGCTTTTGGCGAACTGTCTGGGGCTGAGATACTTATCTCATCAGCTACAAGCCAGTAAAGAAAAAAGACCACCCACTAAATTCATCCAATCCAAGCCCAGCGAGTGCACGCCTGACTTTTCTTCCTGTTACTAAGGGATACTGTATATCTTAGAGGTTTACATCCCCTTGTTGGGCTGTTTTCATCCTCTGCGACTGTGTGATTCACTGTCGAGGCTTTTATGACAACCTAGAGGCGGGCCAACAGCCTCTGAAAGGTAAAGAGAGAAACCCTGTCACATCTTTATAACTCCTGGACCCCGAGGCTGCACGGACTGCTGGAACAAGCCACAGAGATATTAGCCACTGACCAGTTGTTAAGGCTCCAGTCATAGAAATATGCTTCTTTTTTTACACATCGTGAGCAACAATAAATCTTACACCATGCTGCTTTGACTAACCTGCACAACATGAAAACTATATCACCTCCATCAGGGAGATGATGTCATCTGCATTTGTTTGTTTGTTACCATGATTACACAAAAATGGATGGATGAATGGATCAATTCCCACGACACTAGGTGGAAGGAAGCAAGTGTGGGTCAGGGCAGAACCCATTACATGTTATTTGAGATCTGGTTCAGGGGGGGGTTTCAATATTTTTTTCCCATTTTCTTCATCATTAGGAGATTTTTACATTTTGAGACATTTTCATTGACGTCTCAGAGAGTAATTCATGATCTTGATGAAAAGAAATTGCGCGTTTTGGAGCAGATCCCAAAGATATCTGGATCTAGTGAATTTAAATGAGTTTGGTAAGCAGACTGCTGGGCCTCATGAAGGTATATGCACCGAGTGCCCTTCCAGTTTCTCTCAGTGAGTGAACTCATCAGCATACACTGCGTACCTGGATTGCAGAAAAACTGGCCTCTAGCACAGGCTGATTAATCAGGATAATTCAACTACGACTAATGACTCACCCACTGACGTTTCACCTACAGTACACCTTGCCGCGTCTGGATGGAAATTCCTATAAGTCAGCTACTATGTCCAACTGAAAACCCCTGTTTCGTTTTGGGCCCATTTGTCAAATGAAGTTTGTTGTTTTATGGGAAGAAGAAAATGTTTCTTGTCATGAATCCAAGGAAAACATTGTGTTTCTGACTGCTGTGCCTGCCAGAGAGCAGAACAGATACGGGACGTGTACTGACAAGGCAGGTGATAACTGCTGCCCTCACCACAGGATTACACACACACACAGCTCAGTGTGATGCTACTTACAACACCTTGTATACTCTGAACACAAAACTAACCCAAGCAGCTCACAATAGTTCATCATTTTATCGCTGCTTTTCATCTTTATAACCAGGGCTGGGCAATAAAACACAATCAATCATTATCGCAATATGGGTTTCATCAATAGCAACACAACAAAGGCTCATTACATATTGATACATTTCTTAGGCATTGTTCAATCACAATAAGGAGATATAAGATAAGTGATAACCCTCAGTAAAATGTTTGTGAAATGTTTTGCTGTTTATTAAGTGTTTGTCATTCTTTGCTCATAGAGAAGAATCTAAAACCGCAACCTTCTCCCAGGAGCAAACATTTATTGTGATAACTACTGATCAACTGGTATGACATTTTTTATTTTGATATGATTTGTATCTGTATATCGCCCAGGCCTGATAATAACTGTGTGAGTGTGTAAGAAACAAAGGATAGCGAGCACAGCTACAGTGTTTGAATGACTGTGGGGTAACCTTGTCTGGCTAAGACCAAGACCGACCCACATTTAGTTTCCAATTAACACCCAATTATCTCTGAAATAGGTCATGGCAAATATTTAACAGAATTAATAAATGCAAATCAGTTTAACATTTATAGATCACACTAGCCTCTAAGGTAGCAATATAACAATGCCAATGGAGAATGAGTGCTTGATCAAATGCCAGAACTGTGTGTGCAATAGCTGGCAGCAACGTTGGAATGATTTTTCTGTCTGCGCATGTGTGTGCGACTGCAAGTGTGAGGCTGTGTGTTTGTCAGGCAAAGCAGCACTGCACTTATAAGGCCTGGAAAGTGGGGTTGCTGCTCTCTTCAATAGCAATGTTAGTTTATAGAGTTATTTGACAATGCATTCAGTGAAAAGGCAGTGACCGAACATGGAGAGTAAGACAGCAGTGGAAAAAACAAATGACAGCCAGTCTCTGTGACCTGAGAATGATGTCACTGCAAAGGTGCTGCTTGTTAAGGCTGACTTGATAAGGTTGGTATACACAGCATAAAATGTGAGTGATAGGAAAATGACCATCAGTCTGCAGACAAAACCCTTTTACTATACAAATGAAAGATGACCGCGCTCAGACAGGGTTATTATGTGGTGGACGAGCTTGTATTGAACACTGTTCAAAGACTTTTGAATAAGCTATAGCTTTCACACAGAAGCTTTTATGAACATAAAGGACTCTGCTGGATGATCTTCAACACTAATCTTCCTTAAGGTGTGGAGGCCGCAGTGATGAAGTTGACACCCATAACAAAACAAGTTTCTTACCCTTGACACGGTGAGGGGCATGCTGAAGTCCTTGCCGCCCTGCAGCCTGAAGCCCCAAGGCGCTGGACCGCTGAGGGTCACCGAGTATACATTCATAGCCTTGAGGGAGAGAAAGGAGGAAACTGTGTGTTAATTATGCCAAAAGTATCAATATTACATGAAATACGCCTAACTGCTAGATGTCTCCAACACAAACGTGTCCTGTTTTAAGAATAACCACGTTGCATTAATAGATTAAAGGCGTCCTTTGGCAGAAATAATCAATTTCACTCTGAGACGGGATATTTGCATAGAGTACAAGACAATGAAATACCAGCGGTGCTGCTGGGACACAACATTCTAACATTTATCAACACGCTAACTAATAGGTTGTCATCCCTTGCATCATAACGTGGGGAGAGCATTTACACCAAGGCACCAGTTCAGAGTGGAGCAAAGTGTGCTACCATGAAAATGAGCGCTGTAGGAAACATCTGCGTCGTAAATCGCCTGGACAAACAGTGATATTCAACAATTATTTATAATCAAACATGGGCCCACTTTCCCAAAACATACAAATGTGCTATATTTTCTATAACTGTGCAACCATGAAAACCCACCAGAGCCACTTATTGACAGCGGATGGCATGGCACTAAATAACCAGGTAATTTTAAGAACCCGGAGGCAACTTGAGACACAGGGCTACGTCACTTGCCCTTATGGCTGTACTACTGACCCCTGTACCTGCAGCCTGACTCCTCCCGCCCCAGCCCTACCAGGTGTCAGTCACTGCTCCTCATGACACGCTGCCAGCAAACCCTTAGATGCCACCACGCGAAACCTACCTTGTCCTCAAGGGCAGGCCACTAGCCCAAACCTGGGAGACAGCGAGGACAGAGTCAGTAAGCTAGGGCAAGCAGATTCCCTCTCCGTTGGCAAACCCTGCTTTCCCCCGAACAGCGTCTGTGACACAGGCAAGCCCTAGCCTCCCTCGCTCCTCAGAGGCTATATAAGGAATGTAAAACTACACCAAACTATTTCAGCCCAACACCCACATGAGTCACAGAGCGCAGGGGTGGGGTGGGGATAGGGGGGGGCCGAGGAGGACGGAGAAGAGGTAACGTCAACCACCCCTACATTCTGGCAAAAGCTTACGACATAGAAGCAAATGGATATATGGAGGCTGTAGGAATAAAGTTCACATGAGAGGCAGCAGACAGACACAGCTGAAGTAAAGCAATACGGACATCTACGTTCTCTGTGGAGACCATGAAACACAGAGCAACCACACCAGCAGTTATTTCAGATTAACATCAAATTACCTCACTTAACAAGGAAAATGTAAAATAAAAAAGGGACGAGGTTATAACTCATTGAGGGCGAAAAAGGGGGAAATGGTTCTTGTCTTAAATGCTGTAAAAGCGACCAGCCAAGCACCTCAAATGATCCCATCCATAAAACCTGCAAAACCTAACACAAAATGCACTTTGGTCAAAACTTTCCAGAGCATATAAGCAACAGCGTTCATTAGAGAAACTTGGACTAGTTTACTGTCATTATGCTGAACCATGTGTTAAGTCCAAGAAAAAAAGAAAATCAGTTATAAAGTTAGACTGTAAGAGACAATAAAAACAAAACAAAAAACAATAGTGGCAACAGATAATGGAAGTTATGTCACTTGTGTCAACAGTATTTACATGGACTATAATTAGATAATAGAAGTAACAGCATGCGTGGATGTATTTTAGTTAATTTGAAATACTACTCTGTGTAAGCAAGTGGAGAAATCATGAGTTAAAGTTGTAAAGATAAATAAACTGCTATGTTGTGTATGTATGTTATTAATTCAAGTGACGTTATCCCTGCTTATGGTCTGGCTATTTATAAACCCCACCGGTGTCCCTATGCTGATTCTATAGGAACTTTGTAATGGAGGTGCTGAATAGTTCACCACCCTCTAATACACTGAATTGCACCATTCTTTATTTCCTGGCCGGCAGCAGGCTGCACAATTATTAGCTTAGGTAGTTTTCTTCTAAATGACTCCAGCGTGTCCAAGACAATAATCAGCAACAGGTAATTAAAGGCCACGGTGAGAGCAGAGAATCCGCGGCATTACAGCCCAAAGCCTGAAATATGAACAGCCAACACAACAGAGGACGAAGAAGCAGGAGAAGGAGATCAGAAAAAACACAAAGTGTGGGCTGTAACAAAGCAGTAGCGCTTCAGATAAGGCAGCCAACGCTATAATCTGCACAGTGTGGAGCTCAGCACAGCCCATTCAATGACTCCCACTGAGGAGGAGAAAGTTGGCTTCAGACAGGAAAAAGTTACACTAACTCAGAGAGGAATGCAATTAAAACGCGTCGGAGCCAGCGAGGGGGGATCTTACCTCCGGTTCGTCCGTGTGTTCGCCGGACATCTCGACTCGATGCGCCGGAGAGGAGAAGAAGTCAGTGGGTAAGTTGCGGGCTAATTCTTGGACTTCCTTGAAGCCGCCGTGGATCCCTGGTGAGCAGCAGCCTCCCTCCCTCAAAGTCTCTTTTAGCTGAGCCCCGGAGGAAACGTCACAGGTCACATGACAGATCCGTCTCACTGTGGGAGTCAGAGGAGGCCTCACTCTGCAGACACTCCACTAACATAACATGTAATACTTTACCATGATCTCTGAAAGTTTTAATACA